TCAAACCCCATTTGTATTCTAATAGCTTCAGTCCAGTCCTCATGTAAAGTTTCAGCTACTTTAGCATAACTGCCTCTTACTGCAATGAATGAGCTTAAGAACTTTTGACAGTGCTCCTGCACTTGAGGTAACCTTTTCAAGCAAGAAAGAATATCCTTGAATTCTGAAACAAACTTATCCATTGAAGGATTTTCTCTGACTGCACTATTGATGAGGTTAAACTTGTCAAGCTGATCTGTAAGATCAGGGATGGCTTCCACTTCTAGTGACTTGAGTGTATCAACAATAACATCATGTACAACTTTCTTTACTTTATTAACATCAACAGTAGCTGATGGGCCTAATATAAGCCAATTAAACATCAGTATATACACAGTATTATCACTTACTAGCAACTCCAGTGGATGATACTGCAATAGCTTCAAAAATTGTATTAGAGGAAGAGGTAGTAGGACCTGATTAATATTAAATAAATAAATTACTATATTATTTGCTTGTATCTACTACCTGTTAAAGTAGGAGGGCTTCTCTGTTTCCGTGATGCATGAATAAATAATGTAACAGGGTCAGCCACACCCTTCAATGGTACCGAGTAATGTAGTGTAGGATCAGCACCAGGTGATGCATGCACTGATACCAGACAAGATGGAGGAACAGGACATGTAGCTTCATGAAATTTATAGATGTCTTGACGATACAACTATAAACATATACAATTAATATAATAAAGTACAAGATGATTTATTGACAAAAATTAATGATGGCTCTGTAAAAGTTAATAACAGACCAATTTGCCAAATATTACTCTTATCAATAAATCATTTTGTAAAACTAAGGAAGTGAGAACACTAGTAAAAACCTGAAAATAGAACAGCAGAATATTAACATAATTACTTACTCTGCAAGGTTTAACATGAGGTTGAATAGTCCATCCAGTGGGTGTTTCCTTTTGAGGAGTATTTAAACACAATTCAATATAATCCATGCCATCATCAAACTGAAAGTAAACATTTGGTCCACAAATGGCATCTTCATGGCTCCTTTTAAGAAACTACATAAAAAATAATCATTTTGAATAAATATTGTTAACAATACAAGCCCAAGTGTTAATATACTTCATACAAATCCAATAAGTTAACGCACATCATAGAGAGTATTCAAATCTTTAGCAACTGCAAATGTCACTAAGTCCTCTACACCTTTTTCTTCATAATACACCAGTCCAGCATATGTTACAACTTTTCTTGCATGAGTGGACTGTACTTCTATCAAAAATTTAAATACAATGGGGTGTGTACATGTATACTCACTGTCATCATCATCATCTCCTCCCTTTATATTTCCCTCCTCATCATCTTGTTCCCCCTCCTGATCCTTGTTGTCTTTTTCCTCTGCCTCATTTTCTTTCTCTTGATGTGGTTGGTCTCCTTCCACTTCTTGGTGAACGTCTCCATGCTCAATATCCTCCAGCTCTTCCACCTGCTGCTGCTGAATTCCTTCTTCCTCATGTTGTAGCAAAAAGGAATCGCTTCCTTGTAGCAATTGCTTTTCTTCCTTCTCATGTGGTTGTTGTTCCTTCTTTTCCTCCTCTCTTTCCTCTGTGTCTCCATTAACTGATGCTCCTCCATTAGTTGATTTGTCCTGCAGTGTACATACTAAGCAGGGCTCATTAACTTGAATGAATCTGTACCCACTACAAGAGCTAAACTCTCCTCCCTCAACTATTGAGAACTGGTAAGGAAGACTGGGTGTGCTCACGGGAGCTATAGCAAACTTTAAGTATTGAGTAAAATCTGGTTGTCCTGTTAAATCAATGGAGTACTGTATCTCTAACTTGAGTTGTTTGAGGAGAGGCTTTGAGAGTGATACTGCATACACATCACTGACTAGGACAGTATTAGCGGGAAACTGGAACTGTCCTTTTGCAGCTGCAAGAGCAACCACTGCTACTTCTCCTGTCTCAGAGGACAATAGGCTTTCTTCTTGTACTCCAATCCTTAGACCATATTTCTTCAAATTCATCAGTTGAGGTTTGTCTCCTTCAATTAAGAACAGCTGCCTCTCTGCTACTTGCAGGGCATCACTCAGACATTTTAATTTATCTATCAATTGTATAAAATATATACACTCAGTCAGTCAGTCAGTCACCCAATAATACTTTTACCCATTGAAGGAATCATGTAGTTAAATTGAGAACTACATGTAGTCTCCTTTATGGATTGTTTCTCTAAGGATGTGACTCTCTCCTGTAGTTGCTCCCTTTCCTTCATTAGTTTGGCAGTATACAATTCATTATCAGACACTTTAGCTCTAAGATCTAAATATTTTTTGATATAAAATTATACAAAAAATAAAAATACTAGAACCTTTAATGATCTTGAAATAGTCTTCCTCCACTTTTCTCTTTTCTTCCTCTATTTTTTCCATTTCTTTTTCTATATCAGCAACTTGAGCTTGCAGTTTCTCATTATCCTCTATACATTAGGCCCATCTAATATTATGTACTGATAATACACTAACCAGTAATACTCTCTTTCTTTTTTGAAACATCTTCCAATTTTTTACTCATTGCAAATTTATCATCGGCAGCTTAGTTTAAAAAGGATTAAAAATAATTAATAATATTGTAATAATAATACGTAGTATATAATGCAGTATGTATGCACAATACTAATTAATAGTATACCTTGTTTATCAGCCTCAACCAGTGCCTGATTAAGTAATACTTTATTCTGATGAGCTAAGCCTTGGAAGAAACTCCGAACCTTCCTTCTGTTCTCTATGAAAGCTTCCAAACTAATTTCAGTATCATGACTGGCAAAAAGTTCTAATATATCTTCTACAGAAATAGTTAGTACAATACATATTTATTTCAACCACATTTACTTTCTAGCTGAAGTTTTCTATCAATGCATAATGTAACAGGATTAGCAACACCCACCAGTGGTATGGAGTAATGTAGCGTAGGAATAGCATCAGGTGATCCACGGACTGATACAGAACAACATGGGGGAACAGGTGAAACAGTTTTGCTAAATTCATCAATATCATTTTGATATAACTGCCACATAACAAATTTGTAAGTATTTAAAATAAAACTTAAACTCACTCTGCATGGTTCAACTAATGGTTGTACAGTCCATCCTTTACAAGACTCATCCTGTGAACAATCAAATTTTAGCTCAATAAAATCATGAGATGAACTGAAAGAAAAATAAAACAATTGATTGATCTCAGCCAGTGGACAATACTTCTCAATATACTATAAATAAGCAAGAAAGACGTAAGGACTTAAATATTTTTAAAAAGTCTCTTTCTCTTACTTGAGCTATTTTGGCCAATTTTTTTCCAGCAAGAAATGTCATTAAAAACTCTTTTTTTTCCCATTCATAATATATCAATCCAATGTATGAATTTTTATCTATAAAACAAGGTTATACAGTGCAAAGAACAACATGAAAATAAAATAATTATTGTGAATTCAAAAATATATTACAATAAAACATGGCTGAAAAGTTACAAAATTCAATGGTACATAACAAAATTATAGCCTAACTAATCAAAAATAATACTATTTACCCAATGTTTGGGGTGCTTTACAATTAAGAATTGGCTCAGTTGCGTTTTTAAGTGAGAGTGAGCACTGTACCGTGGACTGAGCAGCATCAGGAGAAAGTGATATCTGGCAAAATGGAGGGTCATGCCAGACTTCATTATAATTATCAATCGTTTCTTTAGACAGCTGTAAATATAAATGGCTACTTTTAAAACACATAATAAAAATTACTAATTGAGGTTCAGATTTCTCATGGAAAGTAGCACTAAGCTTGATATAACTTGAATTTGAATCAAAATCAAAATTTACAAGCTTCATAATTGCTGATGGATGCCGATTTTCAATAAACTATTAATAACATAAAAAGAGTTATAGCATGAATAATTTCTTTACCTCAACAATGCTTTTGAATTTCTTTGCAGTGGCAGCTGCAGCTAC